CTAAAGCTGACCATTATTGTTCAGCAAGTGATAATCCTTAGCTTGGCTCTTTGATAGTAATAATATTTGCACTTTCTTAGATAGTGATAAAATCTGAGTAGATAGTTAAGTGATAAATTTAGATTTCTGATTTTACTAATGATATTTGAAAACTTTAAATTTCATTATAGAGAAAGTGTTCAACTTCAATTCTCCAGCTTATAAAGTAAATTCAGAATACATTCTCTTTGAAATAGTAGAAAAAAAATTTTTTTTCTATCAATCAATTTTAACTGAAAACAAAGTTTTATTTTCATTACATCCAATTTTATCGTCTCATTTTTTTTTTTTCTGCTTATCCATCATCTCAAATACACGACCATATATATTTTCACTGTCATGGTTATCGGTTCCAAAATCATTTTTTTTTTTCTGAAAATGCTTCATTGCGCCATCATTTTGTAAATTCATAATTTTACCGTACATTTTGTTGTTGAGAAAAATTTTTCAATTCAATTTTTTTTAAGGTCATGGAAATAAATTCCATTTGTCTGAGTAAACGTTTATTTGTGCGATGTTTTCTTTTTCTTTTTTTTTTTTCTTTTCGCTAGGGAAAGCGGTAGATAGATTTAAAACAAACAAATTCAGCCGAATTTATCACATTCTCCCACCCGGTATCATCGAGAGATGAGTGATGAGAGATTAGCAACTGGCAAATGTTTCCCATAGACTGGGAAATATATTTTCCAAAAGGTTCACATAAATGACGAAAATTTGGATGCTATTTAGTCGATGGCTAAGACTATCATGAGTGTTATCAGTATATCAATTGCTGTGATTTTATCTAGCTTATGTAAACCTTTTAGAGATTTAGCTTGTATTAACTTACTTTTGTGAACCTTTTTGAAAGTTTATGCATGACTCGTCTCTCTATTCATAATCAAAAATGCTGTACTGCATTAGCTGACCAAAATGATGACCATTGATCTTCTTGCAATGATTTTTGAAGTTTTTTTTTTTAATTTTCTATTTTTTTTGGAATTTCTATTTTTTTTTTTGTTTTTAGTGAATAAAAAATGTAAATAATGTTGAAAAGCTTTTGAAATTGTACGATTTTATTTCACTTCTCCTCCCTCATTTAGTTTGTTTCTCTTTTATTTCGGATTATCGCCAATTACTAGATTTATGTTGTTCGCAAGAAAAAAAAATCCATGTGAAAGATAAATTTGCATAATTTGATACAAAATTTTTCCATGAAAATTTAAAGTATAACCAATAATATATCATCCTCACTTTAATGTCCTTTTCTTATGTTCAACATTACTGATATATGTTTATAGTCTATTTCTCAAATAATATTATCACTTTTTGTAAGTTTTATCATCATAAACTTTGAACTGTTATGGGTATATATCTCAGTTTTGATTTCCAAAATTATCATTTATCAACAATTTTATCAGAAAAAAAATTTTATCGTATATTCATATAAGCATATTCATTTATGAAATAACTCTACCTTTTCCTTTCTTTCCCTCTCTCCCTCTCTCTCCTTCTCTTACAAAGGTTTATCTCTTTCAAAGAAAGCGTATTGCAAATATAAGGCAATTTTAATTTAAAATATATGTTTCAGAAATTTTGAACAGCAAAAGATTCTTTGTTTTAACTTTAATAATTTGAATGAAAATGAAAACACACCTGGCTTTGGTATTTTGACAGTAAATGATGATAAAATTATGCAATAAAATTTGGAGAAAACTCGAAAATTCAAAAACACCCATTTTCTAATCTTGTCATTTACCGATGATTTCAGTTGCATGACAGTTTTTTCCTTGAACTATTTACAAAAAAAAAAAAAAAAAAAATCCTGATCCTGAATTTAGAAAATCAACTTTAATTACCGCCCGAATTTCGTGCTCTCTACTTTTCTCTCTTTGATTCAAAATTTGTAGCATGAATCACTGTAATAGTTTGCATTCTATATTTAATATTAAATTATTTAATATGACAGTTTAGTATTACTCATTCCTAAGTTCAATGTAAAAACTGATGGGTACGTAATGAGCACTTCGCCTGTACGGCTTCACTACAATACATTGCAGCAGCTAATTAACGGTAGTAATTAATAGCTAATTATTAGTAGTTAACAACAATTGATTGGCAGTAGCAGTAGTTGATAACAACTGATAATTTTTGCGATGTTAAATTTAATTTTTTATTCCAACAAATTTTTTTTAATGATATTATCATTACCGTATTTTTTTTTATAATATTATCTATAAGAAGTACTGGAAATTTCATTCAAATTTTATTCTTTTTTTTTGTTTTTGTGCATGCAACAAAAACAATGGAACATGTATTATTAACAGAATTTCTTTTTTCTTTTTTTTAAAAAAAAAAGTTAAATATAGTAAGAAATGTATTGATAATGCTTTAATACCAATAAGAACAATAATAATAGTAATATCAAGATGATTTAGTGTTTGATGATTGGTTATCTGATTCATAACTCAACAGTTTAAATCTGGAGGAAATGTGAGGCCATTCATCAGATGTCCTTCTACATTTTTTTTTTTGCCAATAATTACGATTTCATGCAATTATTGATTTATTGTTATTATTATTATTATTATTTTTCTCGTTATATGCTAGTATAATCGGCATGAAATTCCCCTTAGAGTTTAGGTTTTAATAAAAAATTAGATTTGAACTAATTTTATGTAAAATTCAAGAGCTTATTATCAATCTGAATTATTTACTCAATTTTAAGTTTCTTAAAGTTTTATATCTCAATCTTAAGTTTTATACAGTTATTTTGATATGAATTTACAAGTGCATTATGTATTTAAGTGTGTTGTAGATTTTAAGAAAATGCGAAAATTAACTTTCAAATAGAAATTCTATTATTGATTCAAAGGATATCAGGGAATAGTAGCAATTAACATAAATTTTTATAATATTTTTTTGGTATTTTAGTTTTTATAATATTTTATAAATTACATAAATTAATTCAAACTAATTTTGCTCTCAATGAAATTTATCTTGCAAAAAAAAAAATGATACCCAAAAGAAGCTGAAATTAAAGCATTGTTATTTAATGATGTGAAGGTATTAGTAAATAATTATTGAATTCATTAACTTTAATGACAAATACATTTATTTAGCCATCATTACTTTAACGATATGTCGATATTTACTATTATTTTTTTACCAAATTTTCTCTTATCATTGGGTCAATCTAATCACATAGAGTCGTTTTATGTGATAGGGAATTATTATCGGAAATCTATTTTTACTTGAACTTTTAAGCATAGCTATTCTAAACTTTTCATCCCAAATTTCAGTTTGCTTTTTAATTATATGAAGATTTTACACACATTGTACACATTGTATGCAAGTTTATCAAGCTTATTTAGCTAATTTATTGTTTTCTTGATCCTATCTTATAAAGCTTTAAAATAGGCTCCACAGAAAGAGTAACAATGACAATCTCATTAGTTGAAAACTTCTTATAATTTGAACTATTTGATTTTTGTCGGATAGCTTGTAAGAATCTCTTTTGCAGTATTTACAGTTTCTGAATCTTCTGTTTTGCTAATGCTTCAGAATCTTTTATCCTTAGACTTCCACAATAGTTCATTTATTTGTAAACAACAATTTTTTTTTTGGATCATTCATGATGAAGGAAACGAATAAATAAATTAATCTTTCTTGTTAGTACTGATGAAAAATTGAAACAAAATTCTTTTTGTATATTTTACAATTGATCTTGAAAAAGATGACTCAATTTTTACGATGACCTTTAAAAAGAAACATTAGCTTGATCGTGAAATAATTTGTTCAAATATTGGTTCGAGTTCTTACAAACACTCAAATTTTATAAAAAGTGAAGAAAAAATTTCAGCAACTTCAATTCCTCTCGCAATTTGAATGGATCAATATGTCAGATGATGGTTTTATATTCTAGCTGTCATGCCATTATCAAAAATAATTCTAAATGATTTCATCAAAATGTTACTAAAACTAATAATATCTATGCAATTAATGATGAACATCGATTTTTTTTTTTATAACCATTAAAAAAACAAATTAACAAGTTAACTAATTCATACCACTCGTTTTATTATTTTTTTTTCTTTTAAATTTATATTATATTTAGAGAAAAATTACGAACAACAAAAAAAATAGCAATTCTTAAATATCCTTTAAATTTGGTAATTAAATCCATCGGCGAAAGCCTTCAAAAAACTATCCGTCACCATTATCTTTTTTTCGTTCATTCACATATTTGCAAATAAGCTTTCAAAAATTCTTTCAAGCTAACAGTAACTCCAAACTTATCTTGAAAATCTTAACTATTTTAATGATAGGGTGTCGGAAAAAAAATCATCAGCTATTATTTCAGTTTTCATGTTTCAAATTATCTCGCAATTCGTGTACAGAACACAAACAGTAGTGGCTAGTACCGTATTTTTCCATTTTATATTAATAGACATAATTGATAACTGAATCTGTCTTTCAGCAAATGCACAATCTATTGCTGCTGGTGCTGTTCTTTTCCGTTCTGACTAGGATATCCACCGAACCTGCGCTACGTAAAAAAGCATTTCCTGATGGACGGAAAGGTTTCCATCTTCCCTTTTCTTCCATTTTTGTTTCGTTGAAAATAAGGTTAGACTGAAATTGAGTTTCTAATATTCACAAATAGTCAGAACATAATGAAAAGTGAAAAAACGAAACAAATGGCATATAACAGGTACAAAGACAAAAGCTAAGTTATGAGAATATATTGTAGCAGATACTGGATCAGGAATGAGTGAGAAGAAAACCTTGCTAATTTTACACGGTCAATTTTCGAAACCAGGCTGAATATATGGAAAATACATGTCAAATCCTTATATTTGTAGACTTTCGGAAAGTACCAAAAAAAAGAGCGTAAAATTAAAGCATTAAACCTACGAAAAGAATTAAGTTTTATAACAATACTCTAATATATCATAAGAACTAACCAACATCGATTCCAGAATTTACATTTTTGAAAGAGATCAAACAGAATCAATGCACATGCAACTGCACTTGCATTCCATTAATCAGCACAGCAACATCAGCAAAATCATCATCCACTCGCCCTTTTGTGGAAGAAGCGACAAGCAATCCTGCAACTTTGCAAACCGACGAAACTATCAAAGAGTATTCTGAGCAGCATACAGAAACAAAAACAACAGCCTCCGTTGCGGATTCATCCACATCCTTAAGCAGCAAAGCATCTGAAGAAAATTTTGATTCCACGCCAACACCACATACAATAAGCATGAAAATTGCATATGAATCTCCAATGAAAACACTACAAACCTCTCAATCGATTTCACCTCATTCGAAACCGGAAACATCATCTTCGCCATTTGCAACAACTCAAATTTCACATGGAACAAGCGCTGAAAAAGTGGAAGGAGTCGTGGAATATAGTAAACTGGAAGAAAAAGGAGAATCGACAATTCCCGAAGAAAGCCTGACTTCGATTTCAGCTCATACGGAGAAAGCTGGTGTTGCGGAATCGACATCACCGCATTCGAAAGTGGAAACATCAT